AGAAGTGTTCCTTGCTGTATCAATGCACTCAGTCACCAGAGGCCTCCCGTAAGCAGTCAGCATATTCTTAGGTCCCTGGAGTCACTCATTTGGTCCTACTCTTTCCAAAGCCAAAGTCCATTTCGTATTATATCAAAAACACAAAGACATAAGTTCCCAGTGCAGACCTTCCTACGGGAGCAAAAGATAACCTTACTGCTGATGTCTTTTCTGGCGTGATTCTAGGTCAGTGATGGCGAACCTATGACACGCGTGTCAGAGGTGACACGCCAACTCATTTTTTGGTTGATTTTTCTTTGTTAAATGGCATTTAAATATATAAAATAAATATCAAAAATGTAAGTCTTTGTTTTACTATGGTTGCAAATACCAAAAAATTTCTATGTGACACGGCACCAGAGTTAAGCTAGGTTTTTTCAAAATGCTGACACGCTGAGCTCAAAAGGTTCACCATCACTGTTCTAGGTACTAGTTGAGGAAAATGCTGCTCTAAGTGACTGAGAATTGAATCACAGCTTTGTTAAAAAATGCAGTAGATGTCACGTTAAGAACTGTTGGGAGGTGTGGTTTCAGCAGGTCGGTGGGAAACCTGGGCCCAAAAGTGATTGGCAGATGGGGAGAATGTTGCCCAGCCAAGGGTTTATTACTTCTCAGAGCACACAAGGAGTTATTTTCTTCCTGAATAGGTTGTCTAATGAATAAATGAAATTCATCAGCTTCCGTGAAAGAAGCAGGAAGTGGCTGCAGTGAATACATACTAGTAGAGCAGAGAATCCCATATCGCAGGGGCTCGGCCAAAATGATAGCTCATTTTTACAGCCCGTGAACAGAATTCAGCGGGCTGGCAGCTTTTATGAAGTCTGTTTAAATACACTGTATCCTTTGCTCCATTAAGCTAGTCTTATCTCGCTCTTTATTCTTCAATCTGACATCAAAAATAGTCCTGAAATTATTCATCACAAACAGAGCATCCTTTCCAGTTACTGAATTCCAATGCATTTTCTTTCAAGTGCTTTGCTTAGGGATGTCAGTAGCTAATAGCATTTCTGTTGTTAAGACACACCATACCATGGTTAATGGTGGAAGAGGAAAATTGTACATTACTGAAGGCATCAGGCCCCAGAGACAAGGACGCACGTGTCTCCGCTCAGTTACTCTCACTCCTGCGTAGGAGGCCCCTCCTCTACACCAACTGATACAGGGGCCCACACACCATCAAGTAGCTGTCTGAACTCTAGATACACACACTGCCTTCAGGGATAGGTTTGGAGGGAATAGTGTTTTGTAGTGAATAGCACTTTAAAACCATGTCTCTTCAGTATTGGAGGTGTCTATTGGGGGGTCTGTGGCCAGGTTGTGTTAAAGAGCCTGGCCTAGTTCCTGGTGTGGCCAACCAGCTGTATTAAGAACAATTAAGGTTAAATCATCTAGTCTCCTGGACCACATCTGCTCTATAAAATAGCTCATTTGCTTTTCCTTAGTTGCTGAGAACAGCTGGTTTATAAACCCTGTCCTTTACCATTCAGAACAGGGGAAGCAATGTTAAAAAAGGAGTAGAAGGCAGGATCTGAGCTGAGTCTCTGTTGTATCTCATTGCCTCAGACACCTTGTCCTTCTCAGAACCCCAGCCTGAGATTTGCACAGGAGGTATTTTGTAAGGGGGAACCTTTGCCCATCATGATGCTCACTCAGAGGTCCAGGGAGGGCTCTTTGCCGCTTCACAAATCCCATTTCAAAGGTATGCTGTGCCTCTATTTATAACATTCCTAGTGCAGTGGTCAGCAAACTGCGGCCCCTTGAGTGTGGCTCTTCCACAAAATACCACATGCGGGCGCGCACATACAGTGCGATTGAAACTTCGTGGCCACTCTCAAAAGGCCAAAGAGCCGCATGTGGCTCGCGAGCCACGGTTTGCTGACCATGGGCCTAGTGCATAAAGCAGCACTTCCTTTTATTGGCTCTAAGACAAGGCTTCCAGGACTTAGGGTGCTAATTAGTGACAAGGCTCTGGGTCCAGATGATAAGGTTTTACATTCAGTGCAGTTAAATTCTGTGTTTAAGAAATATTCTAAGCAACTGACCATTAGAGGAACACAGTAGATTTATGTCAAACTAAATTCCTAATCACTGGACAGATAGAGAGATATAATGAGGTCTTAGAGATCTTGCAAGTTTCTAGCTCAGCTTCCACAGTGGCAAAAAGCTCATCTACCAACCTGCCTTGTTGCACCATGCCTGGGCAATGCCAGCCTTCCTACAGGGTTCCATTTGGAAAAGACTCTCATTGTCCAAAAGCAATTGCCTACAGTGCTCCCACTGCCCCAGGCCTGCCCAATGAAAGCTCTCTTTACGAAAATAATTCCCATAAGAATTTTAATGAGCAGTTATTTCAAATATGCAGAAAGGTACAGAGAAAAGTAAAACAGATCCACATATCCACCTTCTAAGTCCAAGTCAAGTGAACATTTTGCTCCGATTCTTTTCTTTTAAAGAAATAAACGGTACAAGCCCATTGAAAGGCCTGCTATCCAACAATTCCCTTCCCTTCCCTTCTTCTTTCGGCGATAACTGCTCTCCAAGAAATGGCTCATGTCCTTGTGCACAGAACCTTCTGATGTTTGGATACTCATCAGTGTCCAAACATATTCTTCCTCCTTCTGTGTGCATGTGTATATTTGTGTTTGTGTGTGTGTTTGTGTGTGTGTGTGTCTCGAAGGTGGGGGTGGGGGTAGGAGTGGGGAAGAGTTTTAGCTCCAACAAAGTCCCTTCAGAGGCAAGTTCAGAAGTCAGCCCAACAGTGTAGTCCTCCCCTCTTGTTTGACTGTGAGAATTCTCATGGTTCTAACACACCTCTTTTCCTCTCTGTACCTTGAAATTAATGATAGAAACTGCAGGGAGAGGATATGGCCTTGATTCTGCTGCACATGTAAGGGGTACCCCACCTCTTCTTTCTCTCCAATGGAGGAGGGCAAGTTTTGGGAAACTCTGGCTTTTTGTTTTAGGGAATTTTGCTAAACTTGATAGTTAGGTTTCTGCTCAGTAGTTGCTGACTAAATCCTTTAGGAACAAGTGACAGCAGCCCCTTGACATATGCCTCGTGATTCTACAAATGGACTTGGTTTTCAGGCGATGGGAGCGACCCCTTCCATCCCCATGATAACTTCGGTTACCCTGCTGTGTCTGAGGAGGCTGCCATCCCCAAGGGAGCAGACACAGTCTGCGTCTTCGTGCAGTGGCAGGGGGCAAGTTTTCTGTTTCATTCCCACTGGTCAGCACTTTGGGGTCTGTTTTAGCTGAAGCAGTAACCGAACTGTCTTGCCAAGGACAGACTACATTGATTCCTCTTCCTGGGTTGTAACTGATAGCTCAAAGCCCTCATTTTATAAGTATCGTTTTCCTAAATAACACGCTGGGCTAGGACAGAGACCTCTCCAAATCCACAGACTCTTCCACACAATGAGGACATCACTCTAGAATGTTCCACTTTTTGTGCGGGGCAGGGGGGCGTAAGATTTGCTCTTGTGCATCCAATTAGTTAGTTTTTCATTCATTATTTAAAAAATAGCACTCCTTAATTTGGGGTCTATTTTAAGGGCTTCCCTTGCCATGATTTCTGCCATGATTGCTGTGATAAAATGCTTTCCATGTGAGTAACACAAACAGGAAGTGGTAAGTGGACGTAGAAGAGGCTGGCACATATGTGGGATGGCAGCCCTCTGCCTTCCCACAATTTACTTTTTTAATGACCCGAGAAAGGGCATCAGATTTCTGGTCTGTTGATTTCTTTCTTTCTCTGTGTCTGTGGTAGGAGGGGAGGACAAGTGATGAGAAAAGGAAGGGAAAATAAAGCCCTTCATCATGCAACTAGTTCTTTTATGTAGAAAATGTTCCCTCGGTTTCTGTGTTATGTGCCCAAGCACTTACTCTGTGTAATAACAAAAGAGGTTCTTGGTGTAACCTCCATCCCAGGTCAGGCCACACGTGCCCTTATTGTGCAGCTTGCAGAGTGACCGCTGGCTGGTGAAGCCCACGGGACTTCCACGGGACTCACTCTAGGCCAGTGATGGCGAACCTTTTGAGCTCGGCGTGTCAGCATTTTGAAAAACCCTAACTTAACTCTGGTGCCGTGTCACATATAGAAATTTTTTGATATTTGCAACCATAGTAAAACAAAGACTTATATTTTTGATATTTATTTTATATATTTAAATGCCATTTAACAAAGAAAAATCAACCAAAAAATGAGTTCGCGTGTCACCTCTGACACGCGTGTCATAGGTTCGCCATCACTGCTCTAGACAGACTTTCACTCAACAGAAGCACCTGCTGCCTTTCTTTAGAATCAGGACGTTCAACTTTCATCATCCACCTTCAGAGTGTTTATTACTCAGGGCCCCAGGGAGAGGGCTTCCTGAGCTTTCCCTGCCTCATCCTTTGGGCAGAAATGCTGACCCAACACAAGGGAGAAGACAGAAGGGAAAGAACGCCCTCTAGCTCAGTCCTCACCATAGACACAGAAGGATTTCTTCCTGGCCCCTCCTGGGTGTAGAGGTTTGCGTCCCATTCTGCCTGCCTTGCTTCATTGAGATAATGCAAGGCCCGGCACATGTCACCAAGGCCAAAGAATGCTTGTAAATTGTAACAAAATTCAATATTTCATTTGACACTTTGATAATGGCTGCTAAATTTGGAAAGCATGGGACAAATAACTTGAAACACAAACCTTAGAGATTTCTAAAAAGCATAGGCTCAACTGCTACTGTGAAAGGGACATCCTCACTCTTTACTTCTGCCCATGGGACCATCCCTGGGAGAGGACTGTGACTACTCTTCCCTCACTGTTGGCACAAGACTCTGGGCTCCTCCTGTTCGAGACTGGCCTCAGGCCAGTCATCGTCTGGGTAACCTAAAAGGCATCCACATACTCCAACTATCTACTCTCAATCTCCAAATTTGTCTTCATGTGATAATTTATTTGAAAAGAAAAATATTCTGATCTCGTTCATTTTTCTCTCATTGACTTTAAAGTAATTAGTGTTCTTCCAAAAGTCCAAGGCTTAAACATGTATGGTATGCGTGGTGATGGCTGAGGATAAAACTGGGATTTGGTTGACTTGGGAACTCTGCTTTTCATTCCCCTTATGGTTCCATGCTTTGTGCTCACCTTCTCCAGGTAACAGCGACCAGTCTGGATCCCAGGAGAAGCTGCTCGTTGACAGCCAGGCCCTGAGCGGGTGCTCCCCACGAGATTCAGGATGCTATGAAAGCAGTGAGAACCTGGAAAATGGTAATGTCGGCACAGATGACCATGGAGGCACCGTCATGTGCTTTGGCTAATGACTGTCTTTCTTCCTCTGTCTGAGCTTTGGGGAAATACAGGCAATAGAAGGAGGACATTTTCTAGGATTATTGGTACTTAATTAAGATCCTCAGGAAGAATGAATATCCTTCAAGAACCTAGGCAATTGATGTTCTTGAGAAATGACTACAGCCGTTTTCCTATTGGTTATCCTTCCATCCCTCTTAGACACAAAGGGAGAGTTCAAGACTAAAGAGACCCTCAACTTCCCATTGTCCTGAAACTCTTAGAATCTTAGCACTCAGTGTAGATCATGGAAAGAGCCATGAAGTTTAAAGTGAGGAGACCTGGGTTTGAAGCCTGAATAGAACATTTATGAGCTGAAGACTTTGATCGTTACCTCATGTCTTTGAGCCCTCTTACCTCTGAAGTAGCAAGATGAGTTTCTCTTTCATAGATTGTTGTTGGACTTAACAAAGCAGTAATACATTAGTAATATCCAGCATTTATTCAACACTGACTGTAAATTAATTGGGCAGTGAATTATATATGGATTACTAATTATCACTCAAAGGCATATTTTATAGATGGAAACTTTAGAGCTCAGAGAGGTTATATAATACCTGAAGCCATGGTTCTTTTCTACTCTGGCTCATAATAGGCTCTCAGGCAGTATTTTAGACTTTATTTTCAAATACCATAGCATTTTCAAGTCCGTCCTCTACTTAGTGTCATCATACATCGACCAGTGGTGTCTGGGCTTCATTGAACTGTAAGCCAGAAAAGAATGTAGTTTGTATTTGTTACAATAAGTACCTCCAAAATCCAGGATGGATTAAAATAAGTGGGCCTATTTTTAAACAAAGAAAAAGACAAAGCATACCATGGAGGACCTCGTTGCAAATGTGTTTGCTTATGTATTCTGTGGAGCAAGAATATCTCAGCGCTTGGGACTATCATGTAGGGGCCTCCCATTTCAATCTGAGGATTTCAAGGAGCCCCTCTGAGAGTATGATGCCAAGCCAGGGCATGAGGTTTGGTTCCTTCAGCTCCATCATCGTCCCTCACCTCAGTTTTTCTCCTTTCGGACATAGTACGCGCAAGGAGGGGCAGCCCTCGGTGTTTTCGGCTGTGCCAGTGAAGCAGGAAAGCTTGTTACCTCGGAGGTCATAGTTCCAGGGCTCCTTCAATGAAAAGATGGATTCTGTGATGGTCTATCAAAGATGACAGTATGAAAACACAGACTTTATCCAAACGTTCATTGCTTCATTTTTTTTTTTCCTGTGGAAGCTAGGTCTCTGAAAATAAAGGGTCTACAATTACATCTTAAAATATTACTTTTTGTTTTTCAAAAATCTCCAAGTTTCTGACCAGAACACAACTACCCACATCTAATAAGGTACTTCCTTCTCCTTCAGAGAGCTTGGCTGCGGCTCAGAGTTATGGTCCCCACACTGCATCACTGGGCCAGCCCTACCCATGGACTAGTTAATAAGGGGAAGTTATGAGAGAATATGTGATTTTGCCCTTAGTTGGAGCATTGAGTCCCATACCCACTGCAAAAGATGGGCTCTTTGAATCAGTGGCTTACTTATAATATATCCTCCATAGTTATATGCACATGGATGACATTCAGGAAACAGTATTGGGACAATAGGATCAACCATAAATTTCATTTTGGAAAGCAGAATAAAAGTATGCAGCAAAGGTCTGAAATTGCCAAAAGTTTACAATTCAAACAAACTAAAAGCATCCCCCCCCCCAATCTTTTTGGCTTTAACCACTTAACAGTTAAAGATATGGTACCTTCCCCACCTTTGTTTATTCAAATATTAAATCAGGTTGCACAGTTCTGGTCTAATTCTCACTAGGAAAGTATTTTCATTGAAGGGAGAAATAAAGGTGTGTTTAAAGGAAACAGTGCTTCTAGTTCTAATTTCTGGTTTGTGAGGGCATATACCCACAGCCCTGTTTTGTTTTGTTGTTTTTTTAATATATTTTTATTGATTTCAGAGAGGAAGGGAGAGGGAGAGAGAGAGAAATATCAATGATGAGAGAGATAGGCTCATTGATTGGCTGCCTCTTGCACACCCCACACTGGGGATGGAGCCTGCAACCTGGGCATGTGCCTTGACCAGGAATCAAACCATGACTTTCTGGTTCATAGGTTGATGCTCAACCACTGAACCACACCAGCTGGGCCTCATTGTTATTTTACTTATTAGTATACTCATCTCTATTGGAACACACATGAATCCCTAGCACTCAGTTGGTTGACTAGATTGGTAGGAATTTTACAGATGTCACTGGCCGACTTTCTAATGCTCAGAAGGATTCAGGTGCACCTGCGCAAGAACTAGATTAAAGACGGCTCACGTCAGGTGAATTCAGGCATCTTCCGTCATAAGCAGAATGTGAACATGGAATTTGTACATGTAGTTTATATTGAGAGTATGGGGTGGGGGTGGGGGGAACACCGTATTTCTAAAAGTTATACTTAAGTGGTTTTATGAATTTTTAAACTTCAGATTTAATGTATATGCTTCATGAAGAATTTCCCCTTTCTAATTTACCTGTGATGATTTTTCTACTACTGAGAAATGGGACCATGGTCAGTATATTTAGTAGTAACACTGGGCTAATGATCTCCATGTAAAACCAGATAATAACCTAGCAGTGCCTAATAATGTTAGCTTAGCATGTTGCTAACATACAGGTGGCGAGGTCTGAGGGCTCACATTATTATGCACACAGGAAGACAAATGTCATTTGACTGGGTCTCTGCTTTGCCAAATGCAAAATACTAGGATCTTTTGGCTCATGTTTTATCACCAGGGATCTTCCCCTCAGCCCAGGATCAAGGCACACAACCAGCATGGTACTAACCACAGTGAGAGAAAGAGAGAGAGAGAGGGTTAGATATTGATGAAAACTAAGCATTTAGAACGGTGTCTGACCCACAGCTAGTAAATTCACCATGAGGCTTAGTGGTTAATATCAGTCAACAATTGCCAAATAAGTAGATTACATCTGGTTGATAGTCCAGTTAATAGTCTGACAGTTTGTTTTAATCAGGGCTGTCGTTTCACTGGGAATTAGAACCCTGTCAATATTTTATAGATTATCTCAGGCAAAATACTCTCGTAAGCGTGTTCACTTATTTGTACCATGGTTGGTTGACTGCTTCTAGGATTCATTTATTTTAGACACAAACCACAAAGAGGGGAGGGTGTGGAGGAAGGTGTAATTTGAGAAGTCCCTAGTGAACCTTAGGGGGCGGCACCATTTATGAACCTTTCCCAGCACGCAGGGCACTGCCCCTCTGCAACCGTGACCTTAGGGAATGACACTCACTAGACAGAAATCCCGGCCGTGTGGCTTCTAAGTGGGTTGTGGATGGTCAGCCTCTTCCACACCGATTGCAGCTAGGAACAGACTTATTTTGTTACCTGACACAGCGTATTTCCTTCCCACGTAACTCCATTAATTTCGATCTCTGAGAGTCCTTTAATAAGAGTAAGAATTTTTTCTAAACGTAAAAACGAGACTGTAGTGACCCTTTTACCACTCAACATCACGAATGGTGCTGGTCGGCCCTGAGTGTGTGTAATTCCCTAATGGGATCTAGGAGTTGGAGATTTCAGTTATGTTAGCACGCCTGTATGTATCCGATTGATTCGCCTTGTAAGATGGGATTGTAACCCACTTCCTTGTCCCTCAGGCAAGACTCGGAAATCTGGCCTTCTCTCTGCCAAGTCATCAGCCGAGTCCAGCTTGAAGTCCTTCAGCAGGAATCAGCTGGGCACCTTCCCAACGCTGCCGTTACCCAAGTCGGTGGCCGCCCTGAAGCAGGGGGTGGAGAACAGGCTGGGCAGCGGCCTGACCCCTCACTCTGTCAAGCGCTGTGATCAGCCCTGTGCGACTGGCTTGAATAAAAACCGGAGAAGCCTCCCCGTGTCCATCTGCCGGAGCTGTGAGACCCTGGAGGACCCGCAGCCTGTGAAGACCTGGCCCCGATCCCAGTCCCTGGATGACCTCCAAGGAGAGCCTGATGCTGAAAACGATGTGCCTGGCGCGGTGACAGAACCCTGCCCTCAGATTGTACCGGAAGTGCCACAAAAGACAGCCTCCTCCATCGCCAAGGCTCACAGCCCCCAGGGAGATTCTGCTGTTGACAATGCATTGCTACTGACCCAAAGCAAGAGATTTTCTGACCCTCAGAAAACGACTACTAAGAAACTGGGTGGCTCGATTACAGCCACTTCAAGTGGCATGTCACCCCCTCCGTGTTTGCAAAACTATGATGCTCAGCCTCCTAGACACAGTTTAACAAGGACTCCTCTTGAGGGTCACAGAAAAGGACTTGCTCTTGAAGGAACCTATCAGCCCCCGAACACCAAAGAAGGTGAGCAGAGGGGCCCTGAGGCCGTAACACCAGGCCGACATCCTACGCAGCCTCCACCTGTTCCTGCCAAGAAGAGCAAAGAGCGCCTGGCCAACGGCCTCCACCCCTGCCCTCCAGGTCCTAGCGCACCGAGCCTGCCCCTGAAGAAGGGTGGCTCCAGCGGCCCCAGCGACTGTCCCTCTCCTCAGGCTTCTGAGCCTCCCTCCAGGCAGGAGCCTGGCAGCCCACCAAGCTCACGGCCACCGCCCTGGCTCTCCGAGCTGCGGGAAAGCGCAAGCCTCCAGGAGCACGGTGTGAGGCTGGGCCCGGCTGTGACCAGGAAGATCTCCTGCGCTCGAGGAGTCGATCTGGAAATGCTCACTGAAGACAAGTTACGAGCTGAAGGCATCGATCTCACTGAGGAGCCATATTCTGATAAGGTATCCAAGGCCCCACTTCAGAGGCCTCTGATTTTATAGTCAGGCGAGAGGAACACCAGTTAACCCAGGAGGCCAGCCCGGAGGCGGGGGCCATTCTGGCAGAGCATGGGGTGGCCGACAGCAGGGGCCTCTGCAGCTTGGTGGTGGCATGATGGGGGCAGAGTGTCCAGATTAAATGCAAATACAGCCTTGGATGTTCTTTTCCTTTCTCTTTTTTCTTTTGCCTGTTTGTTTTTAAACTTTGGCAGCTGTACATTGCAGGGAGAACTATCAGTCAGTACTAGAACTGCTTCCTGAAAGGTTTGGTTTAGACTCTAGAGGACAGGACAGACCTGAGTTCCAGTTTTCCTGTCTTAACTCAACATGTATGTTTTTAGACATTAAAAATTCCTCATTTCATTTTCCTATTTGTAAAATGGAATTGATAATAACCTACATAACTACCTCTTAGAGGTATTATTAGGAACAAATAAAATAAATGTGAACATACTTTGAAAATTATAGAACCCTATTCAGATGTAATAATTGTATAGTACATCATCTTGTATGGATAACGGGGGAAAGATGATGTGAAAATTGCATTGTACCAAGAACATTGAGCTCTATAATGAAAACTCATTTCTCAGTTGAAACAAATAAAGAGTGGTCTACCAATACCACGATGACTTTGAAGACAAATGAGAATAGATGTAGCCATACGTTTCTCAGGGAAATGCAAGCTCTGTTATAATATAATGCAGTCATGGCATCCTTGTTATAAAATTGTGAGCACGAATGCCTTACAATAACGTCCTCCTTCTCCTTAATATCTAGTGAGTAACCCCCTTTGGAATGACGCTGTAACCAACTGGGCTCCCTGGCCAGGCCTGCGATATAAGTCTTAATAGACGAGGCGCAGCAGGAGGCTACGGCAGAGCAGAAGGCTGCCCTTCTCCCTGCAGTTTAGGAGACGGTTTTCAATAATATTTTGCAAAATGATTAGGTAGAGTGAGGTGAGGGCATTGGCCCCCCAAATGTTGGATGGTTGTGTTCTACTTTAATTATGTTTCAAAATATTTTTTAGAGCTCATGACTACCTGAAAGATGAAGGTGTAAAAGTACTCGGTCTAAAACATTCTGACTGTAGAGAAAACGTATTCACTTCAAATAAAAACTTCTGTTGCTGTTTCCCGGTCGTCGTAGCTCAATGTCTTAACCTACCTTATGCTTGCTGTCTGTCCTTGGAGAAAGAGAGATCCTCGCGACCACGCCTGACACCGCATTTCTGTTCCCCTCGCAGCACGGCCGCTGCGGGATCCCCGAAGCCCTGGTGCAGAGATACGCAGAGGACCTGGATCAGCCCGAGAGGGACGTGGCCACCAACATGGACCAGATCCGGGTGAAGCTGCTGCGCAAGCAGCACCGCATGGCGGTGAGCAGCCGCAGTGTGCACTGCGGGGGGCCCCCTCACCCCGCTTTTGGAGTCCATTTAGTTATAGAGCTTAATGATGCCACAAAAGAACTTTTGTTAAGAGAACTAGATTCATGCCCTGACAACTGAAAAGAGTCAGGTTTCAAAACCGCATTGAAGTTCTTTTGTGTCATCAATACTGCAAAGTGTTCTAGTAGGGAATGTGCTGTAGTTTAGCCAGTCTGCATGGGTGAAACATTTAGGTTTTCTCCAATTTTTTTTTTAATAATGTAGTGAAAAACATTCTTAATACATCTTTGTGGACATCTGAGGTTAATTTCTGAGGATACCTGACTTGACAGGGTTTGCTTCCTGGCGACTGCACACAATCTCAGGGTGTGCACACGGAGTAGTCAGTTACCTTTTGGAAGGTGTGGCCCTTGGTCTTCCCCAAGTCCATTTCCCCGTCCTAGCCGATACTTGTTCTTACTGTATCTGAGATTCTTTATAACTATATCGATAAAACGTTTAATCTTCTAGCTGTTAATGTAGATTCAAATACAGTGGAAACTCTACTTGGTAAGCGCACAACCAGGAGTATTTGACTCGTCACCCTGCTGCACAGGACGGCCCACCTCTTCAGTCACCGCGGGGATCTCTCCTCGAAGAGCAGGTCACCACAAGGCAAAGTAGCCAGGAATATAAATGCTCAGAGTGTGGAGAGTTTTGGGGTTAGATCTAATTCCACGTACCTTCTAGAGCCTCACATACTTCCTTGAAAATTTGTCTCCCCTCTGAAAAATCCAGAAAAGATTCTTTATGCTGCCTGGGTTTTGACATAGAGCATCATCACTTGCTGATAGTACAGCAGTGTAATAGGTTAGCAGTGTTCCTTTTAGGCCTATAAGAAGTAGCCCTCCAATGGCACCTGTAGAGTCTTTCTAAAATTCGTTTTCTTCCTTTATCCAGATCCCGAGCGGCGGACTCACAGAAATCTGTAGAAAGCCCCTCTCCCCCGGATGTGTTTCGTCTGTGTCGGATTGGCTGATCTCCATCGGTCTGCCCATGTACACCAGCGCCCTCACGGAAGCGGGGTTCCGCACACTGGGCCAAGTGCCTTCTCTGTCCCACACTTGCCTTCAGGAGGCCGGCATCACAGAGGAGAGACACATAAGCAAGCTCGTGTCTGCAGCCAGACTCTTCAAACTGCCGCCCGGCCCCGAGGCCATGTAGCCAGGTCCGCGACGGAACTCCCTGGACAAGAGCCACCCTTTCACTGTGCTTATGATGCTGATGCAATTTCTCCTTCCCTGGACATGCAGACCAGATCCAGAAGAAAGGCCCAGTGTGTGGCCAGACGGAGCTCGAAACCTTGGCACGGGACCGATGACCCTCTCTTCTCCAGAAAAGCCCCTTTGAGGAAATGGGGGTGGTTCTCTTTGACACCCCCCTCCCCCTCCAAAGAAAAGAGGAGCACTTATTTTTATTTTCAGAACATGATAGAACCAAGATGCCAACTTGCCACAAATGCTGTGCCTCCGGTCTGTCTGGGTGCACTGGGAGAGGGCTGGGGGCAGAGGGAAGGGCAGCCGGTTCCGTTTCTGATGGTGCCGTTGACCTTCGGTCTGTCACCCTGCAGTATCCCCGAGGACCAGACAGGCTTAGCTAGGCCAAAGTAACAGACTCGGGAGTGATTGTACATCGGTTGACACGCTCATTGGTTCAAAAGTAAGAAAATCTGTCTGCACTAGAGGAAAAACAGTCCTATTCTCCTTTAGATAAACGAGACATTTTAATAATTGCTTTCTAGCAATCAGCTTTTATTTGCCTTAATGTAAGCTTTCAAGCAGTTATCTAACTAGTGTTCACTACCCTGTAACCATAGTTCCAAGTCTTCAGCTTAGACTGCCATCTAACATATCTGGGATGTTTCCAGCAAAAATGGGCTTTTCTAATGATCTCATTCTCCATGGCTTATTTTGTAGGAGTGTTTATCTGGCACAAATTTCACGTTGGCTTTCAGTTTTTAAACTAGCTACAAATCTAGTGAAGAACTATCTGGAATTCACAAAGGTATCATGTGTGTATATGTGAGTGTGGGGGGTGTGTGGGTGCTTATAGAACCACCTTTCATTTTAATCAGTTTAGTATTGTTACCCTGTTGGTCACTGTGCTGCGGCAGGTCCATCCCAAAACTCCGTCATCAGATCACCTTTGCAAAGAGTCATTGTAAGGCTGGTTTCAGAGAGATGTTTTAAAAAAGGGAAGTAGTTTATGAGATGTTTTTAAAGCTTTTTTTCTCCCCTGTTTTACAATTAAGATACTGTTTTCCTTCTTATTTAGATAATTCTTTTCATTCAAATAAAGGTTCATTTTGGAGCCAGACATACCACATATTTGCCACATATTAAGTATTTGCATATTTTCGGTTGTTTCCAACTGATATCGGCACATTCTATCCTCCCTTAGTCTGTGTCTGATTTTACAGCAAGCAGAAGTTTAGGCAACTACACGAATAAGGTTTCCGTTTTTATAAGATGACTTTGCTTTACATTCTTATCGTGAGCACTGTGCTAAGCATTGAATGTGATTATTTACAGTACAAATTCAACACAAAACTCTGATCAAAAGTTCTGTAATATTTCATCTACTCGCTAAGATAAATGATTTCCCTCAGGAGGGAAAATAGTGATTTCCTTCATCACAAAGCCATCTTTAGTGTTTGCTTTATATACTTAAATCCATGTTTCAGAGGAAAGAACGTTCTCAGGTGATGTATGTGTTCATGCTTCGGTATGCATTTTTTAAAATAATAGACATTCTTCAATGATACCTTCTGTAGGGTGCCATGTGAAGAAGTTGTGGAAATCTAGAATAAAAAAGCAAAAGCTGTCGAATTTCTATGGCACTCTTAAAACAGCCCATTTTTGTCACCTTGGGTTCTGACATCCCGGTTAGCATAGTCCATTTGGGAAGTAAGGCGGCTGCAGTTCTGTAACCACGTGGCGGAACCGTATTTCCCATGGCGCGGTGGAGGCGGGGCTAAGACGGGCTTCTCACCTGTGTTTGCAGTAAGCTCAGCATGACGTGAGGGGCCCTGCTCATATTTAAAGCTGAGCAAAATGACCACGCATAAGTCAGGTAACAGGGGAAGGAGAAATCTTGTGTGAATTCCCACGTTTCAATTCCTGTTCACTGTAACATTTTCATTTAAGTAAAAATGGCACCAGAAAAGGGAATTTTCTGCGCTTGAGCTTTTGAGAATGCCAAACCGTATTTTTGTCACTCTTCCTTGGAAATCATTGCCTTTGCATACAAACCTCAAATTCAGGGACCACGAATAATTGTCGGTGGGAAGGTCTTCCTAATCTTAAAGTTCTGAGGTGGTTTTTACTTGATTGTGCTTTTTAAAATCCTTTGTTTTTAATTGTTAGTATTTGTTGAGTCTTCTTTTGCTTTAAACTCTTAACTTGATCTTAGAAAAAAAAAAGCCTCAGTGTTTGTGTGTGACATTTGACTGAGGTGGATTGGGGCTGCCTGCAGGTGTTGGGAGACAGGCAGGAGGTGTCAGCAGTATCCAGGTTTAACCAGTTGCACTTGGTACAGGAGGTTGAGGAGTCGGTGGAAACGGTTGTCTAGGGAAAGCAAGCACAAAAGAAACCTGGAGAGGCAGTTAGGCTCAGGTAGCTACACATCCGTTGTGTACATTTTTGCTTGGAAGCTGTCTAGGAGGAGATGCAGCCAGCCCCGACCACGACTGACATTCCCACATAGCCAAGTAGGAGATAGATTTCTATGGCCTGCCTGCCTTCTTAGCCAGAGCCCGTTCCTCCCACCTGAACTGGCGGCGGGTGACATTGGCAATTACTGGAGTATTGGTAATCCGTTCCTGACATAGCAAAGTTTGCTTTCATACCAGCAGCAAAGGGAGTCAGTTCACCAAGTCACTGCTGCCTGTGTGTACTGTATTCTTTACAGAAAAATAAACCTAGTCGTCTGAGTCCAAGTTACCTTGATTTTTAAATTGATAGAGAAAACAAGAAACTGTCAAGCAAGTTATATAACAACTAACAACATTGCACTTTCTGTATATGAAATCAGTATTTAAATAACTTATTTTTCTCCATTGCTGTTTTTAAACATTGTAAGTAGCTGTAATATACCAGTACCAGTATGTTCTCGCAATTGCTTCAGCCCAAGAAAGCTGTGTATTGTTTTAAAAATTGTAAAAATTATTGTGACGATTCATTTAGCAAAGAGAAAGGACAGAAGGGTTTTCCTATGTATCAAAACTTGTCTATAATTGTCATCTATGTACCTAGAAAAAAAAAGTAAATAAATTTCTTCAGTTGAATATGTCTCTTTTGTTGTTCCTTGGGTATTTCAAATATGAATGGAAGAGAAGTGAAAAGGAATTCATAAAGTGTGATTTAAGATAGAAGATATATTATAAAAATAGTAGTAACTGTATATAATTACTCCTGCCATAACACCCCTCATTGTCTGACACACACCAATTCTCTTTGCCAATGTATTGCAATTTTTTTTTCAAATGTTGCCAAGTCAAATCATATAATCACAGCATCTTAAACCATGAAGAGATTGGTGGAAGGCATTGATAGTCTAAGCCAGTGATGGCGAACCTTTTGAGCTCGGCGTGTCAGCATTTTGAAAAACCCTAACTTAACTCTGGTGCCGTGTCACATATAGAAATTTTTTGGTATTTGCAACCATAGTAAAACAAAGATTTATATTTTTGATATTTATTTTATATATTTAAATGCCATTTAACAGAGAAAAATCAACCAAAAAAATGAGTTCGCGTGTCACCTCTGACACGCGTCTCATAGGTTCGCCATCACTGGTCTAAGCCCATCATTTTCAGATGAGTTCTGAGGCCACATAGAGGGTTGACTTGTCAAATATCACACAGTTAACAAAACCCAAGCTTTCTATTGGCAAAAAAAAAAAAAATTTAGATTGGGATATTCTAGAAACGAATCAACTACACAAAAATCCTTTTCAACATGGATGTACCACAATTGACATAAAAACATTTTGTATGAGGAGGGAGTGTGTTTAATAGAAAACTTTGACTAGGTAATGCATGCAGTTGAAAGAAAACAAAACAAAAATCACCCTTTTCCCCAACGCACCCATTTCTCTCACTACAGGTAAGTTATAACCAGTGTTCGCTTATCTTTTCAAAAATGCTCTATGTACTTGCAAATATAACTTCATATGTATTTTTCTATATAGGAATGATGGCCTATTCTTCACACTTCTTCACCCTGCTTTTAAATTCAGTCTATCTTGGATGTCGCGTACCTGTGTAATATTCCATATGCAGATAATTTATTTAGCCAGTACTCTGACAAGTTTTTGCTGTTATAAAAAAAGCTGTTATGAATACAGTATCCTTATACTTAGCATCTGGAATGGCTGTGTTAAAATTATGTGTATTTTAAATTTTGATAGAATAATTTAAATCCACTGGTGGGTTTCATTAAAGGAAGTTTTACCATGACAGTATAGGTTTTGTTTATAAACTAGAGACGTGGTGCATGACATTCGTGCACTGGGGGATGGGGGGGGAGAGGGTCCCTCTGCCTGGCCTGCGCCCTCTCACAGTCCAGGACCCCTTGAGAGATGTCCACCTGCTGGCTTAGGCCCGCTCCCCACGGGCCTAAGCCAGCAGACATCCCCCGAGGGGTCCTTAGCGCTGCTGCAGAGGTGGGAGAGGCTCCTGCCCCCGACTCTGCACTCAACAGCCATGAGCCCAGCTTCTGGCTAAGCCATGCTCCCCCTGTGGGAGCGCACTGACCACCAGGGGGCAGCTCCTGCATTGAGCGTCTGCCCGCTAGTGGTCAGTGCACGTCATTCGGTAGATTTACATATTAGCCTTTTATTATATAAGATCATTGTTTTCCTCCCCCCCCCGCCCCCAGTCTGTTTTGTAAGTGGGGATATTTCATATACTCTTATTCAGGTGTGCACCTGAAATGCTGCATTGTCTTAAAGAGCTAACCATACACATCAGATCTGATTGCTCTCAAGATGACTCCTAAGATTCAATAGCTCAACTCCAAGAAATTACCTTTTTCTTACGATTCCTTAAGAAGGTTTGACTGGATTCTTGGGTTTATTCTAACCACACACTCATTTGGAAGCCTTGGAATAATGACTTTCTTTACTCTTAGACCCACTCAGAGCAAACACAGTGCTTCCTGAGAGAGATGGAGACAAAGGAGAGGCGGGTGCTCACTCAGGCATAGATGCGGACACCTCATCAGGGGACAGTGGGCAGCACTATTTGGAAGCATTCCCATTCCTCATGCAGCACCCCCCCCCCCCCCCCCCCCAGCACTGTCCGAGAACTCAGAAAAGGGAATTAGCTGTCACCTGTGGTACACTTCAATAAAAACTCCTGAGAAGTCCTATCAGACCCTGTTTGAGTCCAATATGGAATGAAGGCCACCAGGACACATGTGTGGGAGCCAGCGAAGTGAAGACTAACCTGACTAGAGTTTACCACCATCCCATGCATCCTCAACACCTGGGTAATGAATGTGGTCATAGCCATAGGGGAGAGGTATACAAAGGGCCATGGGGCCCTCCGGTTTGGCTCAGTGGATAGAGCGTCGGCCTTCAGACTAAAGGGGTCCCGGGTTCGATTCTGGTCAAGGGCACATGCCTGTGTTGTGGGCTCAATCCCCCATAGGGGGTGTACAGGAAGCCGCTGATCAATGATTCTTTCTCATTGTTGATCTTTCTATCTCTCCCTCTCCCTCTCCCTTCCTCTCTGAAATCAATAAAAACATATTTAAAAAAAAACAAAAAAAAAACAAAGCCAAAGAGCCATGGGAACCAGAGGAGAAGCTGCCTGTCTGAAGGAGAAAAGGCCAGAGGTGGCAGTTACGTGGATTATAACAGTGTGCCTGTGGGCTAAGAGCATTAGATTCTAAAAAACACAGTCTTAAGAAGCATGAGAAACTTATCTCTTGCATCCCCTAACTCCTAGCCCTCATCCCGAGTGGCTTTATCTGCTCCCACTAAATAGAAACATTGGAACCATCATGGGCCCCCTCTCTGGTTCTCCTTTCAGCCCACCTGCAAATTCCCTGCATCCACACCTGGTCCTCCCTCCTTGCTTCAGCCATGGCAAAAGAGGTGTCCCTCCATCTGTCTAATCCTTCCACTTGTGTTTGGGATCCTGTTCTGGGACATCCTCACCCCCACCCACTCACCCAGTATGTATTTTCTCACTTCTCTGCAACTTCCCCTTGAACATGGGTTTGCAATGGCTGTTGCTGCCCTTTCCTGGAGGGGGGGTGCTCACTCCCAAATGCCCCCCTCTTTTTGGATAATCATACTGTTTCCTTCGGGAGAATCACCCTCCTCTGCATTTCAAGGGATCCTGGTGCAACCGTCAGTCGTGGTGTCCCACAGCCCCTCTGAACAGAGTACAGCTTAGGTAGGGCCGTTCGGGTTCCCTTTCCCCAGAATTGAGCTCTGAGCTGAAAGTCAGGCACATAAGATGGAGCTGAGCCATGTTGATGGTGGTGACACCTGAGTCCACAATGTTCAGCAGCCGAGGTGCCTTATGCCTTCCTGTCCTTGCCAAGGCTTGTTCAGCTTTGCCTTTAATTCCTTATGCTGATGGCAGCAAACATTTCTCCTCATGCACCCCTAAAGTAATATTCCAGAAAGAAGGACTCCCTTGCATATTTTAAAATTGCCCTCCAAAAGTTTTGAATCATGAGGGAATAGTTGCAACATTATACATTTCTAGTTTACTATAAATATTTACATTTTAAAATAAAACTGCAACATTACTTTAAAATGTATACCTCCAGTGGGAAATAAATCCCAAAGCAGTTTAATACCTACCGTTGTCCACTGAAAGCACACAAGAACAATTTTAAAATTGTATTCTTTTCTCCTTGAAACCCTCCATCGATTCTACTTCCTCCACACACTTTTATTTCCATGCAATGTATTTTTATGGGTGTATTTTTGATCATCCTATCACAGTCCCCTCTAATAATGTTTTTTAATTAAAGTTTAATTTCTTTTGGTCACTAAGCTCTACTTGTAAAAAGAAATCCGGGCTTAATTATCCTTACGGTGATTATTAGCGATCAATTTATTAATATATTAATAAATTTAATTTATTAAATTTATCAATTTATTAATTATCATTTTGATAGATAATGATAAAAGTGAAAGTATTATTGAAAATGCCTGTCGTTTGACGGATGGTGGGGGCGGGGCTGCCTTCTGTGGCCTTGGTTTTAGACGTTGCCACACCTGCTGTTTGAAGTCTGCCGAATTGCTTGCAGCCCAGCATTTTTCAAGCTGTTTAGATGGATGCTTGTGTGTGAAGTGGGAGAAGGCCGTTGGTAAACGAAGAGGTGGGAAAGGCACACCAGCCCATGATCCTCGGGCAGGTCAGTTTTAGGACTAAAATGGATCTAGAAGCAGATTCCTTCATTAAAGCAATCCAAGGAAGAATCAGATGGAACCCCTGGGTGGTAGGCGACACGGCGGCGTCCTTCCAAAAATTCCTTTCTTGCTTGCGTTATGTTAATTGCTTGTTAACTATCTCCTCCTGCTGCAATTTAAAGTCCAGGAACGCACAGGTTTGCTCTCTGATGAGCCTGAACCTGTACAGTTGATTGACACATAGTACTTGTTGAGTGAATTACTGTCCCTGAACCACAATCAGTCCTGAATGTTAAAGCGGGAGATGATCGATTTTAATCCTCTCCGTTTACAGGTGAGAAACAGAGACCCAGAGAGGTAGCAGGAGCTGCTGAGGCCATACTCAGGTGGCTAGTGACAGAGTAAGTGATAAAGAGGCAGACGCTCTCTGCCACGGCTTCACTGGAGGGTCAGCATCTGCGGCTTAAGAGGAAATGAGAACAGGCCAGAACTTCCCAGCGCTGCTTCCAGCAAACACGGTCTTGCTGAGGGAGTAGCTGCTGCAGCCTGTGACCACCAGAGGGCACTGATGCACCAGATTGAAGGCCGAACCTGCCTCGTGCCGGGCGGGAGAGGAGAGGAGGAATTTCCCAGGTAGGAAAAGAAAAACGCACAGCCAGGGGGAGCAGAGGGCGCCGCCAGCCTCCAAATGAAATGAGGCGGCGGGAGGGAGAGCAGGGCGGGCCTAATGCTCCGAGTTATCAGGGAGACCTAGAGCCTTGCAACCAAACCGCTGATTAAAATGCCATTGGAGAGGAGAATACTGATGGGTGACCAGTACGACTCATACTACTAAAATCCGCTTCATAAACAGCGTGGAGCTCTTGGCTCCCTGCCTTGCTACTCCTTTAAATACCAGAGCGGAGTGACCTTT